ATTGACAGCCCACTGACAGTGCTGGATTTATGCATAAACTTACCAGCTCGCGCCTGCAATGCGCAGCTACCTACCCCCTCCCCCAAATCATTGGTGAACGAAACTGCGGCAGCTGCAACCAGTGTACGACGAGTACGCGGTTATTACAGTTGACAATCATGATGATGATGATGATGATGATGATGATGATGATGATGATGATGATGATGATGATCATTGTAACCTGCATCTCGTGTGACTCGCTGTCACTTCTGGTCGTCTCCATCTGGGTCCGGTCAGCGTGGAGTTAAATGTTTTGTTCGCTCCCCTGTACTGTTCCCGACTGGGTCATGTAACATGAACCTGACTTACAGCATCGTACCACAGTGCACATCGGAGAGCTGTAAGGCGTGTGCCAAGCTCTCTTCGTTACCCGAATCGTCAATTTAGCTTAATTTTATCGACTCTTACCCTAGTATCAGTGATATTCGAGTTCCGAATGCTGTGGCTTTTGGTCAGCTGGAATATGGCATGTCCTGTCAACGGACTCTGTGTATTCAAATGCTGATTTGTTCATAACCGCTTGGTTGTGCTGTGGCGTGCTGGCGCGCCCAGCGAGAAATGTAAAAGTTACCGAGGTGACTGGAATTACCGGTCACCAATTTGTCGTAATTAGTAGTTTCTGGTCTTAGCTGGATGAATAAGGGTTCTACGAGGTAGATGGTCTTCTGGTAGCATGACTCATGGATTTCAACCAGCTCATATACTACGAACGAGTTAGACTTTGCTGAAGCCGTCACGCTTTGCTCTTAGCCCTATTGATTATGTCTTCACCAGGTCTAGATTTTCTTGATCAAAGTCGTGCCTATCTCGTAGTCTTCCACTTTAGGCGATTAGAAATTAGACCGAGTCGATTTTTGTTAGTAGGCTTTCTTGGACTGAAAAGTTTATCTGTGCTTGGCGCTACTAACGTAAAGGGCCACATCACTTAGCCTAGCGCCGATTGATCCCATGAGTGCTGACAACCCATAATGCCATAATGTGCCTTTTTGTGGCTTGTCTTTCAGTCGATATTTGATTCTGAATGTGGAGTCCAGCTGTGCTAAAGAAAATCGATGAACGACATACCACCGCCTTCTCGTCTTATCTTTATCTCATCACCAGTGCTCATCTCATAATTATGCCACCCATCCAGCAGGATAGACGCACATCACGTGACCTGGTGCTGACCAGCAGCCCGGCTGATTACTTCTCGAAAGAGTCCACACAATACCATGGGATGTTTTCTCGAGTGGATCACTCTTGGCCCATGAACAGTGGTGATAATTTGAAGTCATTCAGTCCTAGTTGTTGACCTAGTGGGCAGTTGAAATTCGACATGCCAGGTTTTATACGACCTTCATTTGGAAACCAGTGTTCGCTTGGAAAAATGAAACCCGTTTTGGACATTCTATGTTCATTGACTTATCTCATGCAATCGTTTTACTCATCCCATTTTCGCTTGTTCCCATAGTGCAAGAGAATTTGCAAAGACTGGCCTGGTGGTGGGCTGTGTAACGTCCGTTCTATCTACATTCAATGTCCAGGTGGGAACATTCCTCTTTATTTCGACGCTACTGAGTTACCATTGGAGACGATCGTCGCGGAGAGTAGTCAACTGGTCAAAACAAGAGAGTTAAATCCACCTGGTAAACAGCCCACCAAACAACTGACGATGGACCTTCTATCACGCGTCGCAGAGGACTTGCCGCTTCCAACCGGAGGGCTTGAGGAAATCGTTGCTAAAGCCAAAAAGGCGCGAAAACTTAAGCGGCTTGGTCAGACTGGAAAAGTGCGGAAACCACGCAAAGCTTGAGAATCTTGTCTCATGTTCTACCGTGTATAGATTTAATAAATGCACTCAACTTGAGGGGTTTTGAATTTCCAGTTGGGTGGATTTGCTTCAAAAGTGTAACGAGGCACGGTTTTAGTATTAAGTTGTTCGAGGAGATGATGATCAGTTCTTGTTCTTGTCTAGTCATTTTTGTGTGGTTTCGAGGTTTCAACTGGTAGCAGTACAGAGTTGCAAGTGCGAATGATACTTCCTGGTTGCCCAGGCCGAAGGGGGTTGTATAAGTTACCTTGAGGCACTTTGAGCGTTTGGCTCAAAAGTCTGACCTACAAGGCAGTGGGAGGATGTATGGTTTTGTTCGGTGACCCTGTCCCTAGCCCATAAACCCAAAATTCCGAACAGTGAGACAGCGGTTCTTAAGGTTCTCTTGAGGGATCCTTCCCGGAGCTAATGACTCAATAGTTTGACTCATCTGGTTGTAGGAGGTCTGTCTGGCGCGAGTACGCAGGGAGTAAGGCATTACTGTCTCACTGCTAGTGCAGCTGTGCACAGCAGATGCCTTTTGAGCAGCACCAGACTCTGGTTTCGTAGTGGATGAAATATAGAATACAGTTCGTTTTGTCTTTCAAGCGTCAAGGTGACACGAAACCTATCTGTTTGTCCCGGTAATGATGATTGTCTCAGCGAATTCCAGCAATCGGTTGTCGGCCATGTGGAACACTTTCTCGAATTCTTTTCTAACGGCGACCCGTTGCGTCCCCTCTGGACCATCGCTCAGAAATGATACTCTATCTGTACATACTTGGTTGAGTTCTACTCATGTTCGCTTGCACGTACTTGAGCCGGTACTCACGTGTGGAATGGTAGATAACGTGAGCTTCGAGAAACGAACATACCGGATTTATGACTCAATGAACTGAAATCTGATCACCGCTTAGTTGTCCAATACATCTGTCGGGTGAGATATGTTGGTCCACGGCCGACCGACTTCGTAGTTACTGGATAGAAGACCCAGAAACGGGTCATATTTGAGAATGGTATACTTGCTCTCAGATCCAGACCTTTGGACGTCTTGGAACTGCTCAATCCGAGGAATATCGCTCGCATCATATTCTGTCACCTAAAGTCCACATTAAAATGCATAAAACCCTTGAACAGCTATTATTGTTCTTAAGGCGGTGATCTTTAGCTGACGAATTCACTGGCGAAAAACAATGTCACTTCATTTGTAAGCACAGCATGGTTCACGCAGAAACTCAGAAAATTGTTGACATAACTTGTTCAATCATCATTTCGGCCTTTGTTCTTGCTCACACTGGTCTAAACTATTTATGGGTAGTTATGCAGCTTGAAGGCTTTTTATTCATGTCACTCATTTGAGCAGTTCCCCTCGCGGTTCTGATGCAGCGATTTTAGTCCAGTTTGCTCGAACTATTCCACACTAATCGGAATGGATCTTTAATAACCATTGTACTAAACTGAAAGGCAAACATTGAACAGTTCAACCGGTACTTTAACATATATGTACTATATGTGACCAGCTGTTTCATTTTTGCACTATTGACTATGTGGACAAATGGAAGACGATTGAAACGCTTCAACTGGAAGATGAAACCCACCGTCCTCAGTCACGTCGAACCCCGTTCTCTAGCCCGCGTCCCATTCTATTGGCTGTTTGTTTCATGCCAGATAAAACTGTCCCTGTCTGATGCCGAATCACTGGTTTTGACTACGAAAATAATCGGGTTAGTAAGCTAATTAAAACAGACGTAATACACTACTCACAAGGTTGCTGAAAATTCACCGACAGTCCACGACCGTTTCGCCCTTCTTGGGGCTCCTCAGGTAGGCGCATTACCCGGATTTCTGTCAACCTTATGTTCTATTTGAACCCAAATCGCGCGAACTTAGCGAAATACTCATTTGCAAACCGATTTGATTTCGCGGGAGACTCACCTGGAACCCAGCTGATCCTCGTTTATGATGGCTGTCGAAGAATTTTCAGCAACCTTATGAGTAGTGTGTTATTTCCGTACATGTATCGTGATATCTCGAATATCGTACCAACCTGGTGCGGCACATTCATTTGCTTAAAAACATAAACGAGAGATTCAGGTGGAGAGTCTCCCGCAAAACCGAATTGGTTTCCATTTCGTTACTTAACAATAATTCGATCTCACAAATCCATATTTCATGGATTTATTTTCGATCTCCCACACTCCGAACCGTCGGCGCGAAAAAAGTCTCCGAATCGAACAGAAGTGCCTAATCTTACCCGACTAATCTCTCCCTTAGCCCCTATCAACGCTGGCTAGTAGGATATGAATATGATCATTTACTAATTGGGTGTGGACTTTCAAACAGTCCGGAGAGGGATAAAAAGTGGAGTCCTGAATACTGGAAATTGCACGTCCGCTTATCACTGCTGTCTGAATAAACGAATTAGTAAATACACCTTGGTTTTCATTTTAGGTTCTTTGTTGGACACCATTTGACCAGATGCTTTTGTTTGTGAACATTTCCGTGAATCCTTTTTCCCTCTTGTGCCATAGCATGAGAGTTATCAGGGGAAGGAAAAATCCACAACAAACACTCGCTATAGCCGTGTTTCGCTGCTGTAGAGTAGAACGGACCACACAGAGTCTTTATATATACATCCTTCCAAGTGAAAACTGATGTTAGTTTGGTGCTACGGACGATTTAACTGCGCCGCGTGCTTTTTCCGTCCGGTTTGTCACATCGTCATCTATACCTCGAGTGCTGAGAATCTTCCCATGTAAGTAAACTTTTCAACTAATTCTAAGGTGTTGTCATCGATAGGGTCCCGCCAACTGAATAACATTACTTCGCATTCAGAGGGCGCGAAGCTCATTCTAAAGTGTTTTGCACGGGAATCGAGAACACTCCGAGAGTATCGCTGTCTAGAACATCCTCCTGAATCTCACACTTTATCATCCGATACCACCCTGACATCGTTACAAAATTAGACGGTCAAGACTACCCTTGTAACGGTGTATACTGCTGATGAGAAATGCGAGTAGCATGTGGTTTTATCGTAAATCCGCCTCGCGTCTATTCAAAAGTGTGATTTATTACGGGATTCGTAGAATTACTCTGTTGCATTCGTTCAGATTTTAGTGATAATCAACAGGTATCCAGGAATGTTCAGGAAGACGCGTTCGATAAGAGGACGGATATTCAGTTTCTATAAACTAGATGCAAATGAGAGTTTTGCTTCCCTGTTCAATAGTCTGTAACTGTCCAATTGGTGTTCCCCAATTAAGAGCTCCGCAGAGAAGGTTTTCTTCCCTTCACTCGTAGGACAGCAAAAGTGAGTAGGAGAGATAGTGTTGTATTCCAATTGATTTCTTCAATGAGGACTGGGATTTCGGAGTGAGATTTGTCTATGGAACACACCAGCGATGCATTGGGCATTCCTATTGAAACAATCCCATGATGCGACTTCTTTGGCAGAGTCAGCGGTACTTTTGGTGTTTGATCAGGTGACCGTTGGTTTGCTCACTGATCTTGACAACTGACTTGCATGTGTTTCGTCACCAATCGAGGTAACACCATCAGTACCCGTTAGAGTAAGTGTAGAGGTGCGCTGAAGATGAACAAACTCCCAGAGTCAAGCAAATCTTGAAATCAAGTATTGTAATGCAATTGGTAGTGTGAAGAGATTTGGTAATTTCCAACTAAGGTTTCCTCCTCTAAGTGAGGTCATTACATGTTGAAAAACTGTGAAATGCTGTGCAGCTGATTGCCAAACTTCCACTGCTTTTCTTGCACTAGGTTTGATTTTTCGTCGTTGTCAGGTTTCCACACCCGAGTAGACAAGAAAAATGGTCTTGGATCTATTTACTTTTCTTAAATGATGTAGAATGCTACTGTACTCTTTTCGGGCCAGTAACGTCGCTTCAAATGGAGTCTATTCTGGACGATTTACTGAAAGAAGTAGCCACATCATCAACCACGTGGTGAACGAATTTGTGTATTGTACTTTGTCGTGATCTCGCTTAGTACCTTGTGTAGGACAACTGAAAACACGAGTTTTTCACTCGGGTCTTTGTTTGACTGGAAGCTGCGCCTCGAGTAAGCCAAAGGCGGTCTTTGCTGGGAGTTTGAACTATAGTATATAATTGTATAATAACTATATTTTATTCATATTATATTGTATATGTATATCTTATGCAGTGCACCATTCTCACTTGATTTCTAATGTGCTTCCAAGTTGCGAACAATGCAGTATCCGAGTGTCCGGTGTCCCTTGATTTCTAGCAGACAACTTTTCTTGGCTTGGATGTGTGGTGTGCGTCCTGCTACCATAGCAACCCTATCTGTGACCAACAGATCGTCTGGAAAAAAGACGGATCACGCGTCGTATTGTGATGAATTCTAATGTTCGCACAAATCCATACTTTCACTGTCCACATTGCGTGCGTCATTCGGTCGCGGTTTAAAAAAAACGAGGCGTTCAATAATGTTCGCACAAATCCATACTTTCACTGTCCACATTGCGTGCGTCATTCGGTCGCGGTTTAAAAAAAACGAAGGCGTTCAATACATCTAATCAGCTCGGAATATCCACATTATGGTCATTGATATATTCGCGCAAAGACTTTTTTGTTTAGTTGTACTCGGTCTCAACAAAAAATATAGAGAGTTCACATTAATGTTTGCAACCTATTTAGTAAAAAAAGACGTTAAAAACTTATGTAAACCAAGTTCGCGTTTTGTTTCTAAAGTGAATATACGTATATTTCAAGCAGGAGAACCGCCGGAGGTGGTTGTCGCACTATAAAACCAGGGCGTCGTCTACCTGGATAGGCTAATATTCAATTCTGTGCAGACACTGACTAGACATGCTCAACAGAGGTGCTATGTACTGCAGAGTCAAAACAGGCTGAATAGCTCTTGAGTTGCATTATCTTCCCGGCTTGTGTCCAAACACATCTCACGTGTTACACGCTTTCACATGATTGGTTGAATTTCTGATCGATTTTTGTCGCACTCCCGCGCCTCTAAATTGTGTCAGTTTGCCATACATGCGTTCTGACTTCGCTTTAAAGGTATTAC